TGCATATAAGAAAAATATAATGCCATTTATCAGCAGAAATCATGATTTGCAAGTATTCATCTTATCTTCATCTAGGTGTGAGATAAAGACAGTACCTGGAACAATTCTTTGTATGAAACTTTTCTGGATGGAGGTGGTTTAGATAGATAGGGGTTGTTTGTTTAAAAACTGCCTTTTATATTTAGACAGTGGATGGCATCTTTTGTTTAATTTCCTTTCAAAACTGAGTCCTCAACTCTAGCTTTCAGTTCCTCTGACTGAAAACACTGGAACTATTCATATGGGTAAATGCTTGCAGATGCAAGGCCTACAATGTTTGTAATTTTCCAAAACCTTCTTCCCTGTGCTGGTTGCTGCAGCCGTACATGCGGATTCAGAAGCATGACTATCACTGCTTCTCCTCACACTGCAGATTCTCTGATTTTGTTATTAGTTCCCTTTATTTTGTATTTTTTTTTAATATTATGCTACAATCTAAAAAGTGTGTGCATGTATATATATGATTAAGGCAATACCATTTTTTCATAGTTTTGTCCTTCCTTTCTCCCACAGATGTAAGTTGATTTAAGTCCCAGTTTAAGCAGGCAGTAACAGAGCATGAACATTCTTCTGGTCTGCTGACTTAAGACACCCACACAGAGGTAATCTCCCAAGCTTTCAAGCAGCATAATGTACACAGTGAGTAAGAGGACAGCCTGACAAAGCAGTTTTGAAGAAACCACAGCTTTATATCTCAGAAAGGAAGGTGGGGAGTTTAACAGGCAGGGTAAGCAGCTCTCTGCAGCGCCTGCATCCAGACTGGTCCTCAGGTACTTCTGGTACACTGGCAGTCCTGAACTTCCAGAGCAGGAAGCATGGCAAGAGACCAAAGGCCGTTTTATGTCACTTTAAACATATCTATTGATGAATCCAGTTGATTAAGTGTTTGTGTTGTGTTTAATTCAAACACTAAAACAGTTTTTGTGCCTTTTCAGAAGGTGTATAGATATTTTGTTCTATTGCAGCTGGAGCTGCTGCAGCACTGTTGGGGTAATGTTTTATGCTAAAATTTATCAACTATTTTTTGTTCCACTATTTCAGTTTGAAGTTTATGCACTTAATATTGGAGCATCTCACAGCCTATGTTTCCACTCTAGTCTTGTGTAAACTTGCCACTAACATGCACCTTGATTTCTTTCTCTTGAATAAACTATTTCCAACTAAACTAGCACCAACTAAACCCCTTTGGTGGTTTAAAAATTGAAATGGAAAAAAACCCAAAACCCAACCACCTAGCAATAGCTTGGTAGTGACCATGGAAAACAAGGTCACTTCTTCTGAAAAAAAAAAAAAAATGCAGAGATGTAGGCCAGTCCCTGCAGTAAAATTTATTTCAGTGCAATGTGTACATTCAGAGAGTATGAGCAAAAACAGATCTATGTGCAAAGCAAGAATATTTGACAGTGGATCTGTGGATGTCCAAAAAGGCTACTAATTTCACAGCTATGCTCTCTGTTGGAAAAAAAATTAAAAAAAAAAATATAAAAAAACACACACACAAAAAAAAAAAAACAGCAGAGTAAGCATGTGAATTTGTGTAGCCTCTTTTCATAAAGGCTCATAAACATCTTTCCTCCCGGTTTTCACAATTGCTGAACAGTAACTTTGTTACTGTTCCTCAATGACACTAGATGGCACTTCAGAGTAGTGGTGGGATCAGAAAGTCTTTTGTAATCTTTTCTAGTTATTTTGCATATGATATTATGGAGGCATGACATCAATGCTAACATTGAACAAAAGCAATTTCTCAGCTTTCTGAGAATTTGTATGTATGACCGTGAAGCAGATAATACTATCTGTTTAAAAATAATAAAAAAAAAAAAGCAGAAAAATATTACAACAAAGTGACAAAGTGGTTCACTAGTAGGTCAAAAAAGCCAGGACATGGGCAAAATTGCCCATGACCCTGTGTTTAGAGGATTTGAGAAGCAGTCTGAGGAGGGAACTGAAAAAAATCTACAGGCCTGGAAATCAGAGCAACACATTGATGACAGGGATTTAAGGGTTTTTTTCCTGTGCATGTAGTTTTGGAAAGCCTAAACGTGAGGGATATCATTAATTAAGAAAAATATAAATGAGAAAAGCAAAAGAATAAATTTACAGTATTGCCATGAAACTGCAGTAAAAGCTTAAAGAAGCATCAATTCTTCAAGACAGCCTTTTAATTTCCAACTTATTTAGTCAATTCAGTAGAAGACAGGAGTATTTTCTTTTGTTAAAAACCTCTTACAGGATTTTAATTAACACTCTAATAAGATTAACAAATAGGTGAAAAATTATACATTTATATATCAAAAAAATAGCAGGAAATATTGGCCATAATTCTGAAAAGCTCTTTAAATAGGAAAAAGAGAAGTCCACATGTTTACTCAAGCATGTTCCTAAGTAGTGTGATGAATCATAGGCGTTATTAAGATGATAGAAAATACATTGTTGTCTCTAATTTGGTTATTCTGTCTTCTATATCACAGAAAGATTTTTTAAAATATTATGAGAACAATACTTTTTAAAAAGAAAACACAAGCAAGTGCTGTTATTTTAGTTTGGATTTTTTATAATTTTATTTTTGGTGGAAGCAATAAGCCTCTGTGCACCAGTTAAATTCTTCCATCATTCTTGCAGCTGAAGATCTGTCACTGCACCTTTTGATTCTCATAGCTCTTGCTTCCACCAACTTGAATATTTAGATTATTAAAATATGTTCTGTTTCAGGCTCCCTGGGGGGGGTCTATTCTCACACCTGTGAGATGGTCACACCCTTTGCCTGCTATGACCCCTCTGTGGCCCAGGGATGCAGGAAGGGATAAGATGCCTTAGGCTGTACAGGGAAATAAGGATTTTATTGCTTCATGTCTTTGAGTCCTACAGGTTATTTTGTGACTGTTTACCATCTTCACACTTTATGGAGGGATCGGAGATGCACTAGTGGACCTAAAGGCTTTCTACTTTAGCTCTCTTATTTTTTTCTGCCCTTTCTGTTTATAGTTTGTTTGAGTTCGTTCTTTCTTTCTTTCTTTCTTTCTTTTTGGTTTGTTTTGCTTTGTCTTTATGTGGAAGAGCCATCTGTTCTGTATTTATATGAAAAGTAGTTTAAAAAGTATTGGGCTTCCTGCTGCTTTGAAGTCTCTGCAGCTGCTGTATGTGGATTGAACTCAGGATAGGGTCCTGTCAGTTAGACACTGTGGGTGTGGCTGCACAACTTAGGGAAAATCAACAGTGTGTTGTTGACCTTTTGAATCTGTCATGATCTGGCTGAGGTCTCATGTTATAGGATTTACTTATTCTGTTTTATTGTGCCAGTCTGTGAATCAGGAAAGTCCTGCTATCTTGGCAGCCCCTGGTTGTTAGCAGAGAATGTATTTTATGAGGAATAGCTTGTGTTTTAGCACAGAGAGCAGCAAGCTTGGTATGGGAGATACCATAGGTATTACAGAGGAGGACTAGGCTCAGCTATTTTCTTCTGGACTTAAATTTCCTTCTGTTTTGAAAGAAAAGCCTTAGTCTGGAGAGATCTTAAAGCCACAGAAGGAAAAATTGAAAGTTGGTGTATATGCTTATATGAAGTTTTATGTAATAAGTGGTTGTTATTATTTATTGTATAAATCTCTTCCTGTATATTGTATCTGTATCTGCTCATTTGAACCGTGTACATACAAACCCCGTGGAGTTGTTCAGTCTAAGACCATGCTTTGTTCTCTATTGAAATGCCAGTGCTTAGCCTTTTGCACTAAGACTCTCTCTGAATAGTAGCAGACATCCAACTGAGAACCAAAAGGAGAAAATCTAAGTGCTGATTTTCTGAAGGGTATTCCTTCTGGTGATAGAAAGATATAATGTACTGTGAGTTTTATTTAAAAATAACACTCAGAATGTGTGAAACCCGGAAGAAAAAAGGGATGCAAATGGGGGAAATCTTTGGCTACTATATGAAGAAGATAGCTAGCAAGAGTGCAAACATTATTCTTTTGTGTAATGGCTGCAGTAATTAATACGTATTTGTAATTATTTGTTACCTGAATAAATGACAACTATAAAGAGAATATATTTATTTTCTAGGAAAAATACCTATGAATGAAAGTCTCGAAGGAAAAGAATTTCACTCACACATCTTGCTCTTACTTGAGCTATCACCATGACAAAGATGTTCAGTTTTCAAGACTTAATCATAATTAAAGTTCTGACACACTATGTTATGCTATCAAAATAGAAAATAAAAACAAACACTTTTGAGTTTGCCTGTATTACATTATTATTTAATATAAATGACATATAAGTTTTACAAATTAGAGAGATTGACCTTGGAGTATTAAGAGGCTGCAGAAGATTCTTTTAAGGTGACATTTTTATTGAGTATATATTTAGCTTTGTAGATTGACAGTAGAAATGTGCAGCCTACCTTTGATGTGCTTGTTACCCACTGGTATGGGTTGAAGGATCCCAATTTGCAGAGGGCTTCAAATCACTCTAAGAAGATACTTCTATGAATGATGTCCCAGCAATGTCCAGCTAGGCCTTGCAGTTATTTTACTTCATATTTTGCTATGCTTATGATTTTGTTTATAATCTGAATTCCACAAATTCATTAGATGGGGAGCCTGCATATCTCTACTTGACAATTAAAAACACTGTTTAAAAACAAAAACAGTAAAGGATGCTGATGAATGTACAATGCAGAACAAGTGCACAGTGAACTGCTATTATTTTTGTTTTAGATATATACATGGATTGACACCAATGACTAAACCCTAATACCATACTCTGCAAGGCAGTCTCACTGAAGTCATTAAAACTGCTCTTGTGACTAAGGTGAGAGGGATTTGCCCTAGAAAAATTTAGTCATTGAGCTCCAAACATAGGTTACAGGTTTTGTACTGCAGACTACTCATTATTTTGTTCAATAGGATTATGTTAGGCTAATCCTCAATAGCATTGCTCTAGGAGAATGGCAAACTTAAAAGAACTATGTGTACAATATTAATTTATTTTATTTTTCCCAAAATAATGACATTAGCAACAACTTTATTTGCCTCTGCTAAATAGATACATTCGGAATTAGCTTAGTATTATGGTGGATATTTTTAAACCTCCAGGGCTTGAAATAAATTTAAAGGAGGTAACTCTCATCTTCTCAAGTCTCGAGATGATTTGAGAGTCCTTTTTTCCTCTACTATTTTTTTTTTGTGGCTATAAAAATAACCTCAATCACTATTGTTTTTGGTTTTTTTAATATATCATAGCTTGACAAATATTTACTCCGAATCTCATATACAGTGGAATCTGAAAACCTGTAGCATTCAGCAAACTGAAAAATGCCACAGAAAGCATGCTGGAAAAGAAGGCTGAAATAAGTCAGTTTAAAGCACAGTTGGCAATTCTTTTTGATGGTACAACTTGTACAACTTGTAATTATTCATTTATTCTACATCAATGGATCATCTCCACTTTAAAGTGAAGTTTCTGGTATTTGGCTTTAATTGTTAGCAACAATTTTTTTCAACAGGCCTATCACAACAGGTACTTTAGCTGAAACACAACCAAACCCCATCTTTAGACATCTATTTGTAATTTCCAATCTGTACTGCAGAGCGTTCATGGATACATCGGAAGGCAGAGGGCTGGATTTCCCAGTACTGCACAGGGTTGCTGAAGAGACTCACACCGGAATAGCTAGCCTTTTTGGTGTTGTAGCCAAGAGGGCAAAAGTCGTTGATACCGATTGAAGCAATTTTGTTGTTATGAAGATAGACCACCTGAAAAGCATAGAAGTACAGAAGTGAGAAATAGAGCTACTGTGGCAAATAGGATAAATTATTTGATGTCAAGTACTTGGTATATATTGCGCAATGTTATACAGAGTAATAATATATCCTTTTTTTCCAAACAAATGCATGATTCTGCTTACCTTTTGCAGTACCTAGAGTATACCAAATTAGAAATAATTTCTACAGAAAGAGCAGAAACTGTGCAAGGCAATCTAATAATATTATTATCATCTGATCATACTGTAACCAAAAAAAGGAGTCAAAGATATGGAATTATTAATACAGTGCTGTGGTTCAGAAGCATGTGCTGTATATAAAGAATGCATTTGGTGCTAATTAGTTTCACTCCAGCTCTAATACTTTTGCTCTCATGAGTGCAACTGTACAGGACTCAGAGCCAAAGTAATCACTAATGAAGATTTAAAATAGCTGATGAATATTACTTTCCTCCAGAGTCACCTTTTCTGATGAATTTTCCTAAGCTACATGCGAGTGGTGATTTACATTTGGAAGTCTTCATTCTTTGGAGGCTTTTTTTACCATAAAATCTTAGTCCAAGGGAAGACGGATTTTAATTGGTTCCAAGAGGCCATATTTCTAGTTATCCAGCCACACAGATCTCAAAAATACTGCCGATGTGAAACATATATGGTGTCTCTTTGCCCTCCTGAAGGCATAGCTTTGTGAGATACCAAAGGGAACGTTCTTGGGAAAGGTTGTAAAATGTCACTGTGTAGAATTGAAAAAAAAAAAAATCAACAGAAGGAATGTTCTTTGAAAGCATCTTTTTAGTAAAGAGGAAATCAAAGTACACAAATAATCCTATAGTTGTTTCTTCCCCTCAGACACAAAGAGATACAAATGCACACTTCCAGATATACAGACCTCCATAGACACATCCACACAAAAATCAGAATAAGACTCTTCCTTTTGCTTGCAACTTTTCCATGCCTGTTCAACAGTTTATGAAATTTTACATTAAGTTACCTTTTGCACAAATACTGTGTGTGCTTCTGTTCAAGGCTGAATAACCACAGAGTTACCACTCAGAATCTTTCTACTATTGCTCTCTGAGGCAGTATGATAAACTTTACCTGGATATATTTGTGTTCACCCAGCCCACCAGGTACTCTGACAAGTTCATTGTTGTTCAAATGAAGCTCCCTCAGATGAGGTACATTGTTAAGAGAGCCATTTTCAACTGAAGAAATGCTGTTGAAGCTGAGACCCAATCTAAAAAAAAAAAACAAAAAACAAAAAACAAAACAAACTTAAACTTGCTAATATAACCACCTTTCTTGGGTTGATTACTTTTATACACTACTGTTGTAGAACAGACCAGGCTAATTTTCAGAATTACGCGTGAGAAACAGAGTTACCATGGAGAACTAGTTTAGATATACATATTTAAATATATTTGACATCTGACGTGGACTATCATAATTATCATTCAACTTGTGCCCATGGTACTGCATGCTTTCATGAGCTATGTGGTTAATCCCACTGTAAATATGTACTGGTATCTCCATTGGCACCAGTCTTTCTTTAAAAGCTGAATAAGTGTTTCTTCCGTGACTTTAGGGACACTGGCTGTAACTTTCTTTGTCAAAATACATAACCCAGTGTGACTAGAACTGTTAAGTTTAAATCTTCACCACGTCCTTCTAAGATGCTTATGTAGTTGGAGCCGTGTTGCAAAGTGGAAACAGGAGCTGAGTCATACATAATGAAAAAAAAGGACACAGAAGTGGGACGTACACATTACTCCTAGGTTCCAGGACAGACCTTTCACCACAAAATCATCCTTTCTGCTTTATACATCCACATTCTGGGTTTACTAGCACAGTTTATGCCCAATTTGGAAAAGCTGGTCCTATCTGTGTATTTCTGTGTTAATACTATTTTGGTTTGCAATTACAAAACTGTGGAATTTTTTCAAGAGACTCTCATAAGTCACAATGCTCTGTGTTGCAGTAAGGAATTCAGTGGTAATTCTGCAGGAGTTATCATCATCATGAGTGTTATCCTTTGAGAAAATTCTTTCTATAAAGGCTAAACCTATTTTGCTTTATCTTTTTTTCCTTTGGCAAACTTTTTTCCCATTTCTTTGATAGAATTTGGTCAGGAAGACTTCTCATTTGAAACAAAATTCTTTTTGAGTAGAATACATCAAGATTTAGCAAAGCTTGGGGGATTTGATCCTACAGAGCAATTTGGTCTGAAGATCTACAGAATGTCTGCAAAGGACTTCAGTAATGGGTACTTCTAGTAAATATCTTTAAAAGGATTGGTAAAAAAAATTGTGAAAATACTATAAATTCTTGGTTGACACATATCTAAATATATGCTGCCTACATACGCAAGCCTATAAGCAGATGTGTCACACCTAGGGAGATTAGCATGAAAAAAAGCACGTCTGACTTTCATATTGGTCTGTTGAAGCAAAAGTAACCCCTTTATACACCATAAGGATGACAAGATCCAGCTCTGGATTAGCTCATGCAGTGAAACTCTTTTAGGGAAAAAATTGGAGGACTTTGTAGAAATATGGATCTAGCTCCCATGAGCAGTGAAATTACATGTAATTGCATCTCATCTAAATGTGTTCTGAACAAACTCTCAGTCACTCCCGGCTATGTTTACAAATGAAATGAGACAGCATTAGTGTGTAAAATACAGAGTGATTAAGAGTGTTAGGAAAGAATATGGTATTCGTCTCTCTTCTTTTTCCCATGGGAACAAAAAGGGAAGAATTTGAAAAATCACCTTTACTTACTATATTAACATACCTTTTCCTTTTATTTTAGTGAATATGTAACATATTTCCAGTGTTTTAGCTTACCTAGTCACAGTGTCCTAAATCATTGAATAACATAATCAAAAACATATCTAAAATCTAAGAAAATCTCAAATGTTTTTTCACCTTCTTTTGCCTCCAACATCCCTGCTTGCCCATTTCCACTTTTTTGTTATATGCCCTTTAAGACACTTCATGTTGCTCAAGATCATCGTTACTCAGGGCTTGATGCAACTTCCACTGTATGGAGCTAGATCTCTTTAGTAAATTTTAATAGGCTCTAGACTTTAATAATATCAGTTATGTAATGTGTATATCCTCCTGTGGAGCTCAAGAGTAATTTTACAAGGAAAACAAATAAAAAGGACAATTATGAGCTTTCTGCTAGAACTCAAGAATGCAAAAGAAAATGAACAGTAGATCTACACAAAGCTCTTCTACAGTTCAAAACACCTTAACACAGTCAGAAAAATGACCTTTTTCTCAACGCCTAAGTGTGCTTTAGGTCAGCAATTAGACTGCTGAGCATGTGTTGACATGATCCAGGAGCAGAGTGGTCTGATCCCATACTGATGTTCCTGAAGTCTTACACGTATAAAGAAAAGCTACTTTTCAGTAGCTTGTTTCTGTGATGCAAGGGGCATTCTGACCCTTAGATTTACCCTGTAAAACTTGGTACCTGCTCTGAGCAGCTCCACATTTCCAAAACTCAGTCAACAGAGTATCTTGCTTCTCCGTGCAGTACAGTCACAATGGAAGCAGACCAAGGTTAGATATTTTTAGCAGTCTATCAGCACTTGTTGCATAAAACTTTATGTCTTAAGAAGGCCTTCCAACAATATTGTCCATGTGATGTTGCTTGTAGCATTTTCGAAGTATTAATGTGAAAAAGCAGAAAAACTGGGTCATCTGCAGGACAGCTGACACACTTTCCCCAGTAAAGTAAATACTCTCTACCTGAGTAGTTATGATCTTGTTCTGGTTTTGGAAGTTTTCTTTATCATTTCTCTGGAGAATGTTACATTTTATACTAAGCCTCTGTCACTATCAGTAACTGTTTCATAGTTCCCTAACCCATAAATATGGTATTCTTATCTTTTCATTAAAATCCAGGAGCAGACTTTTTTTGAGTGGGGATGAATCAAATATGAACATCAAACGTGAATTGAAGTGCCTTATTTGACAAGCTCTAGAAAGCTGTTCTAAGCCTTATCAAGCTGGAATTGCCAGATTCAAAATACCTATTAAGTTACTACATACCTCATTGCACTAAATTGCTTTCCAAGATACTATAAACAGTGGTAAATCTAACTCCTGTTGCTTAGTAAATATTTCTTTGATTTCTGTTTTCTGCCTTCATTATGACAAGCAGAATGATTGAGATGAAGAACCAGGAATTAGATCTAGTAATCTGACCAGTGATCTTTTAGATCAATTTCACTTCCATTTTCATACAAAAGTTTTGAAGTATCATAGTATTAAAATACCTTGTATTAAAGGCCTGTTTTACTATTTTAGCATGTTATTTATTGTGAACTGATTCACAAATAATTCTGTATTTCTGTAACTAGTCTTCTGGAATTTTTCTTATGTTTTCCTACAGTTAGAGAAACTTATTCAGCAACATATTCATGGATTAGAAAAATACAAGCACCCTGAAAAACTGACCCTTTTTCATTTATATTGTATGATTACTTTTTTGTCATGTTCTTGGACTCATTGCAGACTTGCCTTTCTTGAGAAACAGAGAAAACACTGTTGCAATCCCGTGTGCTTTTTTCTTCAGTTTCCAGAGGAAATTGCATGAGCAATGCAGTGTCCAAAGAAAACTGTATAAACCGTATAAACTAATGATGGACATACAATGAAAAGGGCATGACATCATTAAAAAATCTAATTACTCTTTTAATATTTTTTTTTCTTTTTTTTTTTAAATCAGAGAAACAGTTGTCCTGGGCATACATCACTCATAATTAAAAACAGACGGAAAGTGTTCTCAGAAAAAAAAAGAAGTGTTTTGTTCTCTTAAGTCAGTACACAAGTCCTTAGAAGATTTATCCTGGTGAGTTACATTCTGCTTCAATGATGATAACATTCATGAAGCCAGAATAACATTTTCTACTTGTGTGTGTGGTGGTTACAATTTCAACTTATGTCTTATGTGAAAAGAAAAAACGAATTCTTACTTTGACAAGTTGATGAGTCCAGACAGACCATCAGCATCGACTTTGCTGATTTTGTTGCCATCAAGGTGAAGTTCAGTAAGGGATGGGGGAAGGCCTGAAAGAGAGAACACCATCAAATTACTTCTGATAAAACTGAATTATCTTTTTTTAAAGGACTAGTGTTATATCGAGGCTGTTTGACAACAAGAGAAAGATTTTTACTAGACATGGCTAAGAACAATTCATTGAATGAAACAAGGAACTTTCACTGTCAGGGAAACTGAAAACAGCTAACAACAATTTATTTAGAATTAAATAAGATGAAGCTCCTAAGGTCATCATAGAATAGTTAATTTTTAAAAAACAGCTAAATGAAATTCTTCCCAGATATAAAATCTAGACTTCGTATTATGTAAATGGGACGTATATAATACTGCAAGAGAGAGCCTTCATTTTAGCCACACTAACCACATATGTAAATCTACAAACATTTGTCACCTAAATATTTAACAAATAGCAGCAGAAAAGGAGATTATAAAGATGAGGGCACAGACTAGTTTGCATGTTAGGTAGAGCACATACTAGTTTTCAAATTCTGTTTATCAGAGAACCAAATATTTTAACTATCTGAGGTCCCTCAAAGAAACATCCAAAACAGGAAATGTGAGAAGAAAGAAATAGCAACTAGTATTAACTTTCGAAAACTTTCCAGCTATTTCAAAACAATCTGCTGTCTGAAGTATGAATATATTGAATATAATTTCCTCTGGATTGGAATAATCCTGTTTTGTTTTGTTTCATTGTTTTCTAATGGGTTATGTTGATGTTGTTCTTATTTTGTAGCAATCTGCAATGAAGTGGTTTTTAAAATAGCAAATGTTTCTGTTTTGTATAGGAATAGTATTTTTGGCTTCAAATCCACAGTCTTGTGGAGGCCTGATTTTATGCTTGTAGAACTTCACTTAATTCTACATGAGTTTATATCTGTATAATGCTCATCAGGCTCACAAACCAGGGTTGGAGGGGGAAAACATTCTTCCACTTTATTTTTCAGCAATGCGACAAGACAAGCAAAATAACATAAAATGGCTTACTTTTGACAGTAAACCTCTTGTGTAGCTTCTCATAATAGGAAAGACGAAATTTTCCAAACCAACAAAAGTCAACAGACCAAAAAATAAACCAGTCAAGCAACAAATACTCTAAGGACTGCCTCAAAAACCTTTCATAATCTTTCTTTCTTTTTTTTTTTTTTCCAATTGGCCAGAAGTCACTATATTATACTTTTGCAAATCTCTGAAATATTAATTGAATTTCTTACCTTTTGGGATGCTAGTAATGTTGGTGTCCGCAATACGGATGTAGGAGAGCCTCTTCATCCCCTGAAAAGCTCCATTTTCAATGCCTGAACTCTTGATTGGATTGGTGCCTAGTTCTGCCAACAAAACATGGTTGTGAGCTGTGCTGAAGGGTAGGTACCTATATCCTTCAGGTCAAAGCTAATTTGGAGGTACAATTTATTGGAGGATTTCTTGGCTTTCTACATAAAAACACTGGCTGAACTAAAAACAACATCTTGAAAAAACACTGAGTTGATTTTTTAATAATTTTTCATGCTCGTACCTAAGACAATCACTTGATTCAGTCCGTTAAAGACAGCTTTCCTCAACTTGGTGATCTCATTCTCATGAGCCCGTATCTCCTGAAGAGACTTCGGCATGTTTTCTGGGAGTTCCTTCAGGTTGTTCTTGGACAGGTAAAGTCTTTCCAGTTTCTTCAGAGGAGCAAAAGCTAATGGGCTTATTTTGCTGATTTTGTTGTTAACAAGGATCAATGCCTGTGGAGCAATAAGGAAGGAGATCTCAGATGACCACTAGGAAAATTATTTTAGGAATGAAAAATCTTAAAATTATTATTCTTTTCTAGTGTCTTTTGATGTCTTTTGATGACCACTCTAGCAAGCTGAAGAAAATGCAGTTCAATGCTAAAACAAATAGATTAAGAACTTCCAAAACACAGAAAGATAAACAAGGCCTACATTAAAAATACAAGTGTTATTTCATTGCTGAGGTATATGCCGCTTCTGTTAATATTCATAATTTGTACTTGAGAATAAGCATAACCCTTCCACTTGAAAGCTTTGAAGAACAAGTCATTCACATAAAACCAACATTATCGGGTTTTGGGTTTTTTTTAGTCTAGTTTTGTTTATTCTGAGAATACTGTCATACCTTACCGACCATCACACAACCATCCTAACCAGTTTTTCCTTAACAGAAGGAATGAATCAATACAGTGAAGGCACAAACTAGCTTAATAAAAACATGCAGATCATCACTTCTTTCCTGTTAGTCTTATAGACTGCACTTATTAGATTTCTGTCTGCTAATAACCTCATTTTTCCAGAGATATAAGCTTTTATAAGCTTTTTTTTTTTTTTTTTTTTTTTGATGGAAAGCGTGACTTGAAGGGGAGCAATTTGAAGCACCATACTCTAAGTTATGCAGTTAGGAATCATGGACTATACTCATTCTGCCTATTGTGTAGGTGTTTAATCTAGTTCTCACAACAATTGCGATATCTAGACTCAGGATAACACAGTTTATAGAATCATAGAATCATAGAACAGCTTGAGTTGGAAGGGACCATGGACGTCACTTAGTCCAACCCCCTTGCAGTAAGCAGGGACATCTTCCACTAGATCAGGTTGCCCAGAGCCCCATCCAACCTGACCTTGAATGTTTCCAGGGACGGGGCATCTACCACTTCCCTAGGCAACCTGTTCCAGTATTTCACTACCCTAAGTGTAAAATATTTCTTCCTTATATCTAGTCTAAACCTCTCCTCTTTTAGTTTAAAACCATTACCCCTTGTCCTATTGACCTTGTTAAAAGGTCAATAACCTAGGCCTTGTTAAAAAGTTTATCCCCATTTTTCTTATAAGTCCCCTTTAGGTACTGAAAGGCCACAATCTGGTCTCCTCTGAGTCTTCTCTTCTCCAAGCTGAGAAGTTAAGTAGCTCTCTATACAGTCAGGAGAGAAAGGCCTTCATAGAAATTCTGTTACATGTGACAGGTGATCTCTGTACACCTCTGAAATTTTACATTGCTGCTAACTCTTGCTGATTAACCAACCATGACACAAAAAGGAAGAAAGTCCCACTAAATAAGAACAGTACTGCAGCTAACATAAAGGATTTCAGATATGATACATATGAGACTGAATCTTATTCCGTTTGCTATCTGCTTATCAGACTTACAATGTTACATGTTTGTGCAATGAATCAGGTAGAATGGGCTGTATAAACACAGATATCATCATCTATTTTTTTTGCTAGAGAATAACTTTAGAAAATCTTTGTTCTCTGACTCCATTATGCTATTTTCAGAAACACAACAGTTGCTGATAAACCACAATGTTTTATATTGCATATACTATAGTCAACATTCAACATATTTTAATACATTTTTAATATTTTCAGAATTACACTTTAGTCTGTTTCCTGGAGGCAAATTGAGCATTCATCTCTTTCCACAATCACTTAAGTATTAAAACAGTGCCAGGAAGTGTATCAGCGTCTGTGACAGTACCTCTCTCTTTGTCATGATAAATGAAAGAGAGGTGAGAAAATAGCTTAAAATGGTATTTAACATGTGTTTTTTCCCTAATGAACTCCTCTTGCAGCTCATCCCGAGCAAAGCAAGCAGTGTGTTCCATACATAGTTTTCACTGAGGACACGTAAACCTGAGCGTATCTGGTTTTAATTTTGTATGCTAGCTAGCAATAACACATTTGCAACAGGAGGTAGAAAAGGTCATTCACAGTTCAGCAGAGTGTTTCTCTAACAGTAAGCCTCTCCCAAAATAAGTATATTGGTCAGTGGTAGCCATGACCCCAACTCTCTTTTATTTGAGCCTGAGCTATAAGAACTGCCATGAGAACACATGGGGTCTGCATGGGTGTGGTTTCCTGAGAGTCACCATTCCTGGAAGTGTGATACAGATGTAGATTCTTCCTGTAGTGTGATATAGCTACCCACTCAATATTAGGACATAGGAAACACCCCAGTTATTATGAGGGCTACAGCTTGAATTGTGTAGATGAGTCTCTTTCATTGTTTGTTTTTATCACAATAACTAAATAACTGAATGTGCTACTGTTAATTACTTTTTTAAATTTTACTATGGATTTATTTTTCCATAGATATATATGTAAACATGCAATGAGTTTAGACTCATCAGCACTTGAAATTTTTATCCTGCATCCTGCTTTGTACTACTTGGTCATTTATTTAACACTTATATAAACAAGAGAAGTTAGAGAGGTGTGCACGCCTGCGGGGCTATGATCTTACTGGCATCACAGAGACGGGGTGTGATGGCTCCTTTGACTGGAGTGTTGGAAAGGAAGGATACAGGCTCATTAGGAAGGACAGGCAGGGGAGATGAAGAGGGGGTGTTGCCCTCTATGTCAAAGACCAGCTAGAGTGCATGGAGCTCTGCCTGGTGTTAGATGAGGAGCCAAGAGAGAGCTTGTGGGTCAGGATCAAAGGGAGGGCAGGGACAGGGAGGGACTGCTACAGTCCACTTGACCAGGAAGACTGAGTGGATGCGTTTCTGTATAGACAGATAGGAGAAGTCCCATGTCCACAAGCTGTGGTCCTCATGGGGGACTTCGGCCACCTTGATATCTGTTGGAGGGACAACACAGCAGGGCATAACTAAGCCAAGAGGTTCCTGGAATGCTTTGTTGATAACTTCCTTCTCCAAGTGATAGAAGAGCCAATGAGGAGAGGTGCTGTGCTGGACCATGTTCTCACGAACAAGGAAAGGCTGGTGGCGAATATGAAACTCAAGGGCAGCCTGTCCTACAGTGACCATGAGATGGTGGAGTTCAAGATGCTTAGGGCAGTGAGGAGGGGACACAGCAAGATCACTAACCTGGACTTCAGAAGAGCAGACTTTGGATCTGCTTGGTAGAGAACCATGGGATAAAGCCCTGGAGGGAAGAGGGGCCCAAGAAAGCTGGTTAGTATTCAAGGATCACTTCCTCCAGGCTCAGGAGCGAGGCAAAAATGCCAGAAGGTCTGCATGGATGAATAAGGAGCTCTTGGACAAACTCAAACACAAAAAGAAGCCTACAGAGGGTGGAAGCAAATACAGGTAGGCTGGGAGGAATACAGAGAAATTGTCTCAGCAGTCAGGGATCAGATTAGGAAAGCTAAAGCTCGGATAGAATTAAATCTGGCCAGGGACATCAAGAGCAACAAGAAAAGCTTCTGTAGGTACATCAGAGATTAAAGGAAGACTAGGGAAAATGCGGTCCATCTCTGGAAGGAAACCTGGGAGACCTGGTTACCCAAGCTACAGAGATTTTTTGCCTCAGTCTTCACCAGCAAGTGCTCAAGCCACAATAACCAAGTCACAGAAGGCAAAGGCAGGGACTGGGAGAATCCCACTGTAGGAAAAGATTAGGTGCAAGACCATCTAAGTAACCTGAAGATGTACAAGTCCATGAGACCTGATGAGATGTATCTATGGGTCCTGAGGTAACAGGCAGATGAAGTTGCTAAGCTACTATCCATCACATTGGAGAAGTCGTGGCAGTCTGGTGAAGTTCCCACTGACTGGAAAAGGTTGAGGGAGGTGATTGTCCCCCTCTACTCTACTCCTGTGAGACCCCACCTGGAGCTGGACCCATTCCAACCCCTGTAATGGGTCCAGAGGAGGGCCATGAAGATGGTCAGAGGGTTGGAGCATCTCCCATATGATGACAGGCTGAGAGAGTTGGGGTTGTTTAGTCTAGAGAAGAGAAGGCTCTGGGGAGAATTTTAGCAGCCTTCCAGTACCTGAAGGGGGCCTGCAGGAAATATGGAAAAGGACTTTTTACAAGGGAACGCAGTGATAGAACAAGGGATAATGGCTTTAAACTGAAAGAGAGTAGATTTAGATTAGATATAAGGAAAAAAATTTCCTGTGAGGGTGGTTAAGCACTGGAACAGGTTGCCCAGAGAAGCTGTGGATGCCCCATCCCTGGAAGTGTTCAAGGCCAGGCTGGATGAGGCTTTGAGCAACCTGGTCTAGTGGAAGGTGTCCCTGCCCATGGCAGGGGGATTGGAACTAGATGATCTTTAAGGTTCCTTCCAACCCAAACCACCTTATGATTCTATGATTTCAGCTAAAAATCTGCCTTAATCTTTGTCTTTTTTATTTGATTTGTTTTAACTTTGTTGCCTTTTAGATAAAAAACATTTGGGCTATGATTATCACTGCTGATGATCTGATGTGAAATATTTCTTGCTGGAAATAAGTATACATTCAGCTAGGCACTGCAATATAAATATTTTCTGAGTAGCTGATGATAAGAGGATTGTTACAGCAGAACATATAGTCCTGACAAAAACCAGAAATTATCCAAATGTCTAGGATTAATCTGTTCTGCCTTGACAATGCTTTCTCCTGAATATGATTGTGTTCTCTTGTGGAAACACAGAAATTTAGGTGTCTATCAAAGGTATATTTAAAAATACTGATTTCACAGTGGGAATGTATGTATAGTGGTGCAAGGCGGGATGGTATCACAAGCATGTAGTTTTCGACTGTTTTGTACCAGAATATCATTTCACACTTGCAGCTAGCTGTGCAAGACCCTGTGCCTGGTATTTTAAACCTGCATTATTTTTCCATGCTGTTGTGCAGCTGTAAAGAAGAAAAAATAAAACCACACATCAGAATTTGCAGAAGTTTTACTGTCTCCCAGAGCAACAGCAATTGATGAGGATAATACACCAGCACAGCACCTGGCAAGCCATACCCCTGGGTTCCTTTCCCACTTCA